TTTAATTGTAAAGCTGTTCACCAACAACAGGGATGGCTACTGATTTCTCTCTCATATGGGTCACTGACCAGACACCAGATGGTGGAAATATTATGTCCTACTAATCTGGCCCAGAGTTGGCAATTCAGAGGTGAAAAGCTTTATCCCATTACCAACTGCCTGAGCTGTTCTGTCTCCAACCTGCAGGCTAAAGATTAAACAGTTAATAGTCTTGAAGTAACTCCCACCCCCTCAAATATCCCATCTACTGCACATCCCAGATATCTACTGGGCAGATCTAAGAGAAGATCCCTGTCAGTACACTTCATTGATTTTAAATTCTACCTAAGAAGGAATGAAAAAGAAGCCAGTCTGGTAAAATAACATCAATTGGGACAGTACTACTTATGTAACATCTGGAAGAAAACGTTTATTGCAGACAAAATATCAGGAAAAATGGAAAATCCAAGTAGGCTGTTTGTGAGAAATTAAATCTGGAAATAAAGGGAGGGGGAATCATAAGAAGGAAATGCAAACACACAAAAAAAGGCAGAAAATATTAAGATGCAATTTCCTTTTGAAGGTTTCAGAAAAAAATCATATTATCGGTATAACACTACACAGTCATAACACCTTAGTCAGCTCTGAACAGTAGAACCAGTTTTAGTGAACTTACCTATTCTATCCTTCCCATTTTCTTTGCCTCTGCCCAAGTATTTTGCTTTACTGTACATTCAAGCTTTCAATTTTTGTATATTAGATTTCTATGTTGCATCCAAAATCACCATCAAAATTTCTGTTTTTCACTATAAATTGCCAGAGAAACTACTGTTGCATTTGAGAAGATGACACCAAACATATAATTTGTAGTTCAAGATCACTGTAAAGGAAACAACTCACAGAATTCCTGAGCTCCTCTATATCCAGACTTAATCACGTTAAAAATGCAAATGGGTTTAATAGCAATATAAATTTTAAAAATAAAAGAATACAAGAGAAAGCAGTTAGTAGGTTATTTTTAAATGTATTTTTAAATGTAGATATGTGTACATTTCTGCATGTTAGGCCTCCATATATTTGGATCTGTATTCTTTCACTCCTGCAGAAAAACATGATTCAGATTACATATCATGATCTTATAAAATCCTATCACACCACAGTTACCTTATCTAGTTAGACTCTTACCCATCTGGAATATTCGACTGTTTAAATCTGTCAAGCTGTGCACAAAGAACTGGGGAACCATGGAAGTAACTGTAAAAAAACTGTCCTTAAGAGAAGGGAAAGGGTAAGCATAGCTCTTTGGTGCTATCTTAGATGTCTTAGTGTTCATTCCTCACTTCGTATTTCATACAGCTTCACTTAGGGCAGGTACAGAAAGTCATGCTGTGAGTATATATAAGCTCTTGGTTGGCTTTATTTTTGATAACCTGCTTAATTCATTTACAACCATGATGTTTCTAAGGACTGAAAATACTCCATCTTTTGTTCATAAAGCTGTCCTATCACATCACACTGTGCCATAGTAAGAGTAGTAAAAAGCATTGTTCTAAGGTAGATTACATAAACGAAATCTCTCATGGGTAATTCTTTTCCTTGAAAATCCATAATTAGACCTTGCAAAAAATTTAAATTATTAAAAAATTCCTTAAGTATACAATTTTCTATATTAGAACAGCAGCTAAAATTGCTTGAGGTTTGAATTTATTGCAAATATTTATTTTAAAAGCGCAACATTTTGTTCAGGTTCAATAATAAGACTGGTGTAGCTCTTCTGCCAAAATCCCCTGGTTTTACCTGTATAGCAAATTTGACTCAAGAGGGTTAAAATAAGCAATGTTAGTAAAGTACCATTCTCTTAACGCAAACTTCGAACACTTTACAAGTATCGTACAGGTGTGGTATACTAGCACTCCTCTATTAGCTCTGTGCAGAAGCAGAAACATTAGATCTTTATTCTACTGAACAAATTACACAAATTAAAAAAAAAAAGGCAAAAAAAAAGTAAGTTAAAGGAAAATAGGCTAAGGAACAAGCTCCCCAGAGAAGTGGTCACAGCACCAAGCCCGCCAGAGTTCAAGGAGCATTTGGACAATGCTCTCAGGCACATGGTATGACTCTTGGGGATGGTCCTGTGCAGGGCCAGGAGTTGGACTCAATGAACCTTGTGGGTCACTAACAACTTGGCATATTCTGTGATTCTGTGAATATATTTAGGAAGAGTATAAGGATGTTTAGCTAAGGAAATTGTTTTTCCGGGCCCAGATAGTAATTTAAAACAATTGAAACTATGCATATCAAAAACAGAATCAAAGGAAAAGATGCAGAGATTTTTAATAGAAATTACTGCAGCTGAGCTCTAGGATAGCCCTAACTAACTTGTTAGTATTAGCAGCTAGATGGTCCACGGTCATTCCTACGTAGCCAGAGTACACAGCTTGTGTGCTTCTGAAAACAGAACAGGGCCCTTGGCAGAAATTGCATTTTCATTACAAAATTTTCCCCCTATGTGGACTTGCAGAGCAGCTTTTTTTCAGA